ATGCAATTGAAATATGAAATAAACAGATGTTAACTACTATGAACTATTAGTTTACAGAATGGATGATGTTCTAGATTTCAATTATTTGCTACAATTCCCTAGATTTGAATCTTTAAATTCACCCATTCACAGTCATGTTGGCTCCTAATATTGTAACATTTTGCAATGTAATGTGTGTTTAAATTATGAATGTTGAATAAATAATATGCAAAAATAAGGTGTGAAAGTTTGAGGCTAACATTACTTCTTGCAAATACAAAATTTTGATTGCATATGTCAGGAAATGGTCTCACATAAAAGTTTTGAGTCAAATGATATATGGTAAACGCTCAAATACAGTTATTCTGCAACTTAATAATTAGCACTTGGTAAGTAGAAATGGACTTTATGAACTAAATTAAAAATTATTAAAAGATTGTTGCAGAAAACTATCAGTTTGAAACATTAAGAATTTGTATTACTTACAGAATACTGTTTGTAATTGTTTTCTGAGTGCAATTCAAGGTGTTGATTATCTCCTTTAAAGCTCTAAATGACACGGGGCCAGATTATTTCACTGCCACTCCCTGAGAGTATCAACCAATCCCACCCAGTGAGATACAGTGTTTGTGCTCCATAGCTCTTCCCTTAAATGTTGCCATCTGATGGGATCTTGGAGCTGTGGATGCCCCAACTCTTTGGAACAGCCTGTACCCTGAGATTCAGATGCCCCCACCTTATTGATTTCCAGAAGGCTATGAAGACCTACATAGCCTACATAGAGGCATTCTACAATGCCTCTTCAACCCAGGCATTGGACTGTGGAAGTGAAAAATGTAAATGTAGACTCAGTGATATGTTGAAGCACTCTGATGAGATATATTATATTGTTATAGAAGTTAATCTGGTTTTATGGAAGGTTCTTGTGAACCATCCAGTATTATCATAAATAAGAAATAAGTTTATTAAATAAATAAGAAAAGAAAGGGCAAGAAAAAATGACAGGATACCCCAGTAGCATGAGCTACCTAAAGAAACATTGCAGGATTGTTCCCCTAACCAGAAAAATTCTAAGTGATCCAAACCAGTGCAAAAGATGGGTACTATTGCTACAGACTTGAAATATCTGGTGATCTTAAGCAGTGATGTAAACAGGCTATTCAAAATTTTGCAATCTAGTTCAGTTTTTATAGAATTATCCATCAAAAATGGGATTGTCCTGCTAACTCTTTATAGCCTGAATTATTTCCAAAATTGTCTGTCAATGTTTCCATCCCAAGTATTGTTTTCTCTCTGAACAGTTTAATTTAGACAAGGAACCTATTGTATTTTGTTGTATTAAAGATGACTGTTTTAATGATTAAATGCGTCACTTGTAGAAATTGCTAGCATTTTCTATTTGCCAGATTATTTTATTAATTGTGAATATGACCCAACAGAGTTTAAACAATTTACTAAGCTGCTATGAATATCACTTTATCTACAAGCTACATAACTGCAAACAGTCCATCTGTTATTTGTGTCAATTTATTATAGAATAACTGATGAACATAGTGTTCTCAGACAGCAATCCTAAAGTTGCTAGTAATGTCTCACTACATGTGATGGGACATAGTTTTGAGTTCTGGGCTGCACAAAATTCAGTTCATACTTGCAGAAATCACTGTGTGCTCACGCTCCTGAATCTGAGAAATAAAATGAAAGAGAGCTGATACTAGGAAAATAGCCTCCTGGATGCAAGACACAATTCTGTGTTCTATTATAATAAGTCTTTGCAGACTATTTAAATAAAATTATAATATGTTGGCAATTTATCAAGAAGACACATTACGTAATAGCTGTAATGATGCCATGACAATCAAGGAAGAGATAATGTTTTCTAGAAACAGAATGATATTCTATGGAAGAAGAAGTAACAATGGTCCTTAATCTAGGTTCTGGGAGGTGGGGTGAAGGAATTATACCTATTGGCATTGAAAAGCATCAGGAATACTAAAAGGCAAAGCTAGATTTGCTCAGATTTTGATTAAGCTAGTGCAGAGCCAAAAGTAAATAAACAAGCCTTTCCTATTAGATCAGACAGGTCAAGGGATGATTCTGAAATGAGACAAAGCTTCCTTGTAAAATTACTTTGACCATGCTGAATGGATTACAAAGTATTTCTACTTGGATCCCATTGAAATCAAAGTAAAGATTTAAACAAGACATACTACTTTCAATGGTAACAATATTTACCAAGTTAGTTTACCTAATCAATTGCTTTTAAAAAAAAATAATGATGCCAGGAGATGCAACAACCTCCTTGTATTTGTTGTCCCGTGATATTCTTTGACCTATAAAAACCATCATTTATTTGATGTATTTAATACTGCAAGAGGCCAAACTTATGAATCTCACTGGGATTCACTTCTGAGGAGAAATGTTTAAAATCTGTTTATATTATTTGTACACAATATAATTGGCTTGATTAGCTGTCTCACCAGCTGCATAGTACATAGTGACATTAAATCATTACATTGGAGTTTTTTTAAAAAACCAACAGACTCAAAATAATGTAGCATTTGTATCTCTGGGTGGGTCTACATAGTGTTATGAACTATAGCGTAATTGTTTGGGTTTGTCTTTGGATTTGTGTGTGTTTTATAAACCACGGTTTACAGCTTAGCAAAATTAAGCTATAGAGGTGAAGTAAAGAATTAACAAAATAAAATGCTTTGTTCTCTCTGACTGACTAAAACTTTTATATAAATTATATGTGAAATATTAGATAGGATTCTAATTAAATAATTCTTCTGGGTATCCTTCTTATCAGTCTTATATTCATGTTCTGAACTTTATAATAAGGTCTTCTATCAGACAGAATACACAATTGCAAATGTTTTTCTGGATTAAGAAAACCTCATACATACATAGTAGTGATCAATGGATCAGAGTAATATTTCATTATTATAAACAATAAAACAGCACAAGTTTTTCTGGTATACATGTTCCTTTTACTGTTACAATACTCCACAACTTTGTACAGGCTACAGAACATAATAAGAAATATACCAACTCTGACGCGATAGAGTATCATGTCCTCTCAGAATTATGTGGTACAATTCTTCCTGTGGTCTAGGAAACCTCAGGATCTCTTACCACAGCCTCTGAAACATGGAGGCTATTTCAGTGACTCCATATGCTTCTAAGATGTTTGCATTCCTCCTTGGAAGGATCCCTGTCAATAAGATGTACATAATAAACACAAGAGGAAATATGCCCCCCCAAAAAACAATCATATAATTTGACTGAATGTTGGACTTTCTTTCTGTAAGATATGAAGCCATCATAACAGGCTTTTTCTAAACATATTTATATAATTATTTTAGCTCAGTTTTTATTTTTTAGGCAGTAATATAAGTTTGTTAGTATAATTACATTCAATAGAATTTGTTTCTTCATAAAAGTTTCAATAAACTAATTTTGCAGATAATTTACCCATAGCCATTTTTACAACAGTTTGTACATGCAAACTTAATATAGTTCATTCTTTAAATCTGTGTGTCTACTCTCCTCCTTTTCTGCAGAAAGCGAAAGAATGATAATTGTTTGAGTTCAAAAACTGACAAGTTTTCTCCTGCAAAATGATACCATTATGGACATCAACAAATGGTTAAGATTAGTAATACATAGAATCGCCAGGCATCCATCAATCTTGTCTCAATAATTTGAATAAAACAGGGTATATGAAAAAGTGAATATTTATAAAAGACTACATTACTGAGTGCATTATACAATAAATGAATATATTATATAAGTTGATAACAACAGAGTATGTTGGGCATGCATAAAAACTATATATTTAGGAATATATTTTTTTAATCTTAAAAAGGCAAAAAAAAATGATGTATTCTTTAACATCCTCCAACATCTGCAAGCAGGGGGCTCTAAGAGGCAAGATAGCAGTTGCCGAAGTGCAAATGAAGACCTGTCCTTTTGTACATGTTTTTGATATCAACAATGGTTAAAAAACAAAGCGGAACTTTGATTGCACTGTCACAACTGCCATACTGCTTTGCCACCAACATGGATGCTGCTGGATGTAAAGGAATAATCAATCATTTTATATGATCCTGACATAGGCCTCATTTAATTTAATTTCTACGTTCATGCTATTATACTATTCAAACTGAAATTGTGTACACATCATTTCATATTTATCTGCACAGTTGTAACTATCTGATAGCCAGCTTCTACACTCACTTGAACAGTTCTTCATCTGACTGATTCCTTCTTCTGATTGCTAAATTTACCTTCCAACGTTTTGTGCTCAGAACAGTCACATGTTTTTTCTAGGCATGAAACAAAGCATAGGCATGTCAAGAATTTTGATCCAACCTCATACCTTTGTTTTGTTTTTGGAATCAAGTAGATAGTTACGCTTGGTGTAGACTAGCTGAGATGGTGTGGGAATTGAATGTTAAATAAATGGGTAGTGAGGAGACTGGTTTCAATTGCATGCCTGCCAATCTAACTAATAAATTTGTGGCCTTTTAAAAAATACTTTCATTGGGAAAGTTAAAATTTATCTGGATGGCAGGTTGTAATTGTTGTTTCTCTGTATTGTACTTCTATTTGGCAGGCATAGCCTTACCTATAAAAGAAAGCAAGAAAAGTTTGCTAATGATGTTAGAATTGTGAACACAAAAGCTAATTATGGCTGCTGATGCTGGTGAGAATTTAAGTGTGAACATTTGCTGTCGCAATGTTGACCTTTTAGAACACATTTAAAGTACAAAATCTCTATATTGGTTTGTTGAACTTTGGAAGATTTTTTTCTTTTTTAGGATTTATCACATAATGTTGATTTCAGTATGCTGTGATCCATTCTCTATAATACTTAATGGTTTTGATAATTTTTTTCACTTCATCTTAATTATAAATAATTAAATAAAATAATTTTAGCAATTTCTGGTTGGACATTCAAATGTTTTAAAATTGACCATAATTTTTATTTCTAATTTTCAATTTTTTTTTCAAAGGTAGTGGTGATAAAAATACCTTTCCTTGCTTATCAGAATCTAACAAAAGAAGCCAGACCTCTGAAAATCCTAGTGCACTGATCCACATCTTGATCCATTTCACCAAAGTTCTAAAGTAAGTATATCCAAAAACTTTTAAAATACAAAATGTAAATGTAATTGGAAACTTATAAATAAATATAATGTACAAATATGATTTGTACAACTTCCAAATGGTGATATTTGACCTGGCAGCAGATCCTATTAACAAACATAAAGAAATTTGAATGAAATAGTTCATTGCTCAAAAGGCTGTTATAATCTTCATTCCATCTCCAAAATAGAAAACATGAAAATGATTCTTGATAACCTGATTCACATGAGGGAAACTACTTTTAATCAAGACAAGGGAAGACAACATGTGAAATAGGGCTGTATACTCTCAAATACAAAACTGTTATCTAATTGATTTAGTCTAGTTGATGCAAACCAATTGTTACCTTTTTTTTTTTAAATAATGCCATCTGATCATACAGGGGCATGTCCAGATCCACTGTACATCCAGTGATCAGCTGCCTGGTTATTTCTGGGCAGTCATCACCATACACAGTGGATGTTATAGGTCCTGGCAAGCCCAGGTGTCTGCAAAGTCCAAGACAGCCAGTAATACTTCTTTTTTCCTCCTCATCCTGAAGATCTCATCCAGCTGCTATAACTGGACAATTCTGTACAGTAGTCTTTCTTATGGTGGGCCATGGTGGCTGCTGCCTGTTTCTCCTTTAGCTTTTTTCTAATCTAGTTCTCCATAGTTCTCCAGATGATAGAGCCAGCTTCTCAGGTCACACTTGCATTGGGTCTCTGAATAACCAAACCTTATGACTATAGAAAGTCCAGAAACTATTTATTTTGCCACTGCCAACTTCATTCCTGAAACCACAGCTCTTCCTATCATTCACTTTGGCTACTAGTTTTGCCTAATTTAGTTAATACTTATACCCAAACCCCTTTTTATTACACAAACAAACACACACAGAGCTCATGTCTATTGAATTGTTGCACTTGTGTTTTGAAAATTGGCAACACGTATTTCCTGCTTTCTTGAGTGACCCCATAAAACTATAGACCTGAAATCTATGGGAGCTAAGAATGAAAAACAATTCAATAGCTCATCATCATCATCAATCATCAATCATCATCATCATCATCATCTCAGGATTAAGACAAAACAAAAAGAAAAACACCTCTACCACGTCCTTCAACAGGTCCTTAACTTTTTAAAAAAATATTCATTGCTGCTGTTTTGAGTGAATGAAGATTAAACTGAAAAACAAAAACATGGAAATAAGGGTGAATGGGTTTAGTAAAAGGGAATTATGGTTGGATGGAGGTAATAAAGCTGATGAAGAACAAAAGGCAAAGGATGAAGCAGTCCATGAAAGTAGAGATGCAAAGCTGGCTTGCAATGCTAAACAAGTGTGCAGAAATACAGGCGACAGTGTTGATATAATTTTACTTTCTATTTACTATTTGCCACTCAGTTTCTGCATTCTGTAAAACATGGCTTATTCCAAAAGGGAATTTGGGGGTGGATGTGACTATGTAACATAGGCACAGTATTTAGAGCAAAGAGAAAGAAAACAAGGTTTATTAGGCTTCTAAGCAATATTGAAAATAATGATGAGGAGCATTGAGTGGATAAGGAGCACTTACTTTACCAAAGTTTATTGTTGCTCAATTTTTTATTTTGTACTTAAGATGTAATAAACTGACAATTTTATAGCTTGCTGGCTATTTGGAGAAAACTACAGTGATATTTAGAGTTGCAAGGCATTGGAGGAATTCTAGTGTACAAATGTATGGAACTTATTTCTATGAAGTTGATTTTGCTCTATTTATACAAATATCATTTAGCTAAATGGGTCAACTGACCGTATATGATGCAAGTCTTCTTTTTAAAAAATCTGTTCCTGAATTATAAATAAAGTTTATTTCATGAGCCATAATTTTTGAGATTTGATGAATCATTGTGCTTTTTATGTAGAACAGAAAAAATATCACAAACCATAATTACTTTTTAAAAAAAATTTAATTGGAATACTTTAAATAAGTAGACATTAGCTCATAGTGTCCGTAGTCTTTATAAACCTATGACTATTGTCTGGTCCTAAGTGAGACTTTTGGAAGAAACATTTATTTTGCTAAGAAAACACTTCCTATATTCTGTATCAGAGAGAGAAGGAACTAGAATATGTTGGAAGGAAAGTACAGATAATTTTCTTTTCAGATGCTGTACATATCCTGCTTAATTTTATAAAGTCAGACCTAAATACCAAGTAAGTTCAATGCACCTTGCTCTAAATAAGTGACATGAGCTATACATTTTATTTAAAAAAACTTTTGTAAATTAAAACTGAAGATTACAAATAATAACAGAAAACAAAATAAATGTTAGGCAACAATCCTACAAAGAATAAACTCCAGTGACCATGAGGGGTCCTTGGTGCTCTCTGAGCTTGGTTGCTTTCTTGCAGACATGTCATTACCCAAACAAGATGACATAATCTAGGGACCATATGAAGTCACCCTGTTCTCATAGAAGAGAAGATCCTCCAACAGTTGTCACCTTCCTGCAATTCCAAAAGTTATGCTTCTCACTTCCATACAATGAACCAAAACAGGTCTTAGATAATTAAGGTGTTAGTGTTTTATTGGAGGTCTATTAGTGTGAACATGTATTTATAGAAAGGTAAATCTATGTCCTGGTTGATAAAGAAAAATGCCGGTATGATACATTATTTTAATCATCTGTAAAACCAATCAAACTCCACAATAATTTGGGCTATTTTTCTATGATTGGGATTGTTTGATGGTATGCAAGAAGCAGATAGCCAGCTGAGTTCCAGCAGTTAAATTACAATCATTTATTTGGCTTTATCCAAGGGCATTACCATATTGTCACAGCTTCTCCTTCTTAATTTCTTAAAAACTATTTAAGGAACTATTTATTTTTTTATTTTATAGCCCACCATAGACTTCTGTAAAATGTATATAAACCATACAATAAAAAGTCCACAGAATACTAAATAAAGAGGGAAAAAACATGAGAACACAATAAAACACTCATAATAAAGTGATGAATCAAAGATAAGCAGTCAGCAGTTAACATATAACCAATTATAGAACCAATAAAATAGATGCTAATATGTCCCACCCAAAATACTTTCTAGAATTCTGTTTTTAAATAATAATTCTGTTTTTAAATAATAATTTTTTTTAAATAATGTTTTTAAAACATGAGAAAAATCAGAAATATATATATTACTGTTTGGATAAAGAGACATCCAGTTGACTATGGTAGAAGCTAACTGTATAAACTGATAATTTACACAACTGCAATGAAGTGACTAGTATAACTGACATTGCAAACCACAAAAGAAATTTCCAACTTTATACTACCGCAGGGCAGGCTGCCATAGAAAAAAAATCCAAAGGAAGTCTCCAGAGTGCCTTAGGATTTAATAAGGATAAGCTTTGAATCCCTGAATCAAAAACTCATTCCTTCATAGACACATCTCTGGAATGAGAGAAATATGTCTTTTAAAATCGGCCCTAAGAAATTGAGAACATGCTGTTGATAGGAATTTATCCTCAAACCAAATCTTATAAAGCAAGCTCTACCTTCTAATCTTCCACAGTTCTTTTAATGTTTTGGCTTAATATTTTCTGCCAAGTGCATTTGTATCCAATCAAAATTCTGATCTTTAACCAAAAGCAACACTGGATTTGTCTCTGCCAAAAACAGGAGACTACTCTTTTTGGATTTCCTGCATGTAAATCCCACCAACTTCCCTCAGAAGCAGACATTGCTGTGTTGTGTTTGATAAATAATTACAAGGGTGTGTTAAAACACCCATCTCCAATTTAGTGCCCTCCAGATGTTTGGACAGAAACTCTTATCATTTGTCAACTGATGGCTTAAGAACTAGGGGAGCCAAACTCCAACCCAACCTTGAAGACAAAGGACGTGAAAGGCAGCAGTGGAAATTGACAGACACAGAAAAATTAATTAGGAAATAAAACTCTCTGAAAGTAGGCATTGTGGCAAAATTAGGATGGTTTAACAGTTCTTAAAAGCCTAACATTTTTTTAAAAAAAAATCTCCATCGTGTGAAAATATTAGTCTAAGTCAGGGGTAGTCAACCTTGGCTCTTTTATGACTTGTGGACTTCAACTCCCAGAATTCCTGAGCCAGCTAAGCTGGCTCGGGAATTCTGGGAATTGAAGTCCACGAGTTATAAAAGAGCCAAGGTTGCTTATCCCTGGTCTAAGTGAAGGATTTAGATTTTTTACTAAAACAATGAAGTATTTTAAGAATGTGCTTGTATGAGTCTTCATTTTTCCTGGATTCCTTTGCTGCAATTCAGGTTAAAACTGGCTCCACTTTACATTATTAAATAGCTATAAAGGTACTTTGTGGGAAAATACATGTTTTAGAAATTATTGAAACCAGAGGAAAAAGAAATACATTCAAGTATGTTATAAATAAAGAACTATTTGTGATGTGCACTCCTATTTCAACCACAAAATGAAGGGAAATACTTATGGGAAACTCAAGGGTACTTGTTCAACAGGTTGGTTTTAGTTATGGTATAATAAGGACAAGAATTTGTCTGTTTGGTTTCAACTATTAGTGTTCTGTCATAATCTCTGATATATCATAGCTCAGTTATGGTATATAGTTGCATGGAGAAGTCCCTGGGTTCAATGCACTGTACTTAATAGTTGCAAAACAACAATAACAACAAAGTAGTAGAAAAGATTTTTGCATAGAAGTAGACAATAATGAATTTCCAAACCAACGTCATTAAATGTATGTATGCAAATAGGTACTAAATAACTTATGTACCATTTCAGTCATGAAGTTAACTTTAATCTTAAAGTTGGTTTAGAAACCTCAATCAATATAGAGGGTCATGTCAACCTGAAATCACAGTGAATGTAATCCTACATGAGTCTCTTAAAGAATATTTAATTATAAATGGCTGATTTACACAAATCTTTCTGTTGCCTGGATTTCTACTTGAATAAAATCTCATGATGTAGGATAGAAGATTGTTTCAGGTTGATATTCATCAG